ACTTCCTTCATTGTCTGCTTACCCATGAGTAATGATAACCATTGGTGGTGTTTGCAGCTAGTTAAATTTCAGGTGTAGACAGGAGTCCTCATAAATGAATAGTATAGAGAAAACTGTACTTTAAAGAAGACATTTTCTAAAACGTGATAAATTGGGTTGAGCTATTTAACGTGTTTGTAAGTTTCATTGTAGACTCTATGGAGGCATTGCTGGCTCTCAGTAGGTATTTGCAGATGATGGCTAAGGACACTCTGAGGTGCACGGAGGGAATGAAGTAACTCCTCTCATTGAGTGTCTGCTCAGTCTCACGACTGTTCTCAGGACTACTTGTTTAAATCAGGTTGTCTGTTCTTCTTAGGGAATTCCGTTGAGAAAGCATGCTGGCTGAGACTCTCATCCTAAAATGAATGGGAGACTTACGAAATATGCAGATGTAGTTTCCCTCCTTCCTGTCTTGTGGGGGGAGATAGAAGGTGGGAGTGAGGAAGGAAGCAGATCATTACATACACACAAAGAGTAGTCAAAACCTATGTTTTCCTCCCCTTAAACAAAATGGTAAAATATAAATAGTTTTAAAACTGTTGGCCCATCCAATGGCATGATGGTGAAGGTGACTGGATCCCGCATAGCCATCTGTGATTCTGGTCCCAGATCCAGCAGCTTGAAACACATACAGGGAACATGTACATCTGTGCCCAAAATCCCAAGAGAAAAGAGGAAAAGGGATGGCAGATGTGGGGTTCCTCCCTGGGGTGGGGGGGAAGAAGAGAAAGAAAGAAAGAAAAAAATCTTTTGATATAATAGCAAGGGAAAATGTGGACAGAAGGATTTTATTAATCCTGTAACTTTGAAGAGCCACCATAGATATTAATGGTAGTTTTATAATAATCTGAAAGAGAGTGTTTTAGTGGTAACATGATTTAAAATTATTTTTATGGAAAATTCTTTTCTTAAAGAATTATTTTGTATTCAACTTTATTTATTTGTTTATTTAGTTATTTATTTTATTTTGACTAGAAAAGGACAGAGTAAGAGTGAGAGAAAGAGGGAAAGTGAGAAAGCAAACTGCCAGGTCTGGTACTTGAACTGTGGTTGCCTGTGTAGGAGTCCAGTGCCCCCATCCACTGTGCCATCTGCTGGCCCTGGAAAACTATTTTTAAGAGTGTCATGATGCAAATCTAACCTTTTAACCAGTGCTGTAGAAAACTGTATCTAATTTAAAATCTTCAATTTGATTCCAGGGTTTGTGGCTTATTTAAAGTTTATAATTAGAAAGTTTGGGGGAAAAAAAAAACAAAACAATAGGCAAGTTGAAAGTTTTGCTGTGTAACTTAAGACAATAAAAAATCATTAATTTATATATGCATTAATTCTGTAAATATTTATAGCATGTGCTGAAATCAAATTTTAAAAGTAGGTTTTTTCCTGCATGACATGATTTCTTCATTCTATCCCCTAAAGTTTGCATATTTTTTTTTAATTTGCAAGAGGATGTGTATGCTCGCTGAAGAGAGACAGAGAGAGAGAAAGTGAGAAAGAATCCTTATGGGAAATGGACACACTGCAATCCCTTCTCCATTTCTCCCCACTTTGGGATCTTGGGCATGCATGCACACATGCCAGTGTGTCTTTTAAACTGCCAGGTCCAGGGACCAGTAGCTGGCATAATGGCTATGTCTCTGGACTCCCATGTAGTTAACTATCGTTTGAATCCTGGACCTGGTGGCTTGAACTCATGCCAGGCGTGTGTGCGTGCATGCCTAAGATCCCAAGAGGAGAATGGAGGAGAAGGGATTGAGGCGTGGCCATCCCTGGGGTTGGGGGAGGGTGATTTCTCGCTTTCTGTCTCTCTGTCTCCCTTCTGTCTTTTTGGTAAGTGCATGCACCCTATAGCAAAAACCTCTCAAAAACAAACAAACAAACAAACAACAAACAAACAAAAAACAAAAACAAAAAACCCTGCCAGGTCCAGAACCCAAGCTATGTGACCAGCCATGTGAAATCTAGCTGCCTTAACTGCTGTGCCATGGGCTGGTTCTGTCAAAAGAAAAAAGAAATGAAAGAAAAAAATCTCAATAATGTCACTGTATTAGTGGGTTTGTTTGTTTGTTTGTTTTGGAGAGTTTTGTTATATAGGGTATGTGTACTTGCTAGAGAGACAGAAAGTGAGAAATAACCCTCCAAGGGGGATGGCCATGCTGCAATTCCTTCTTCTCCATTCTCTCAGGATTTTGGGCATGTGCGCACACTCACTGGTATGAATTTTAAGCTGCCAGGTTCAGGACTCAAACCATGGTCAACTATGTGGGAGCCCAGCAATGTAACCATTATGCCATCTGCTGGTGGTCCCTTGTTTTTGTTTTTAAAGGATTTTGCCATAGGGCATGTGCACTTGCCAGAGAGACAGAGAGAGGAAAAGTGAGAAATCACTCCCCAAAAAGAGTGGCCGTACGTAC